AGATTGTACGTTTGTGGCAGGGATTGTACTTGCGAATCATGCTCAGGTTTACGCAGCTGATGAAAATATTTTGGATCTTATTTTATACAAGAACAAGTGAAAGGAATATATTTCCTAAGGCTTTCATTAGTTTCCTTAATAAACGAGCGGCCGTCGAGATCACAAACTAAGAGTACATTAGTGGCAACTTTTATAATTCAGCGTAAAAGAGAAATGATTGACATTAGTTTTCCGGGAGCGTTTTGAATAATTGCTAATTTCCCGCAGGCTGGCCCCCGGGAGAATGAGGGGTGGCAGGGGGATAGGGTCGGGGAGGCTGCGTGGATCGATAGAGGGCGCGCCCTCTGGCGCCTAGACGTGTTCAGCTACATCTGGGCCCTCTTGTCTCAAGGGGTACCTGGTGATTCGTTTCGCGTGACCACTGAAACAATACGTTGGTTTTTGCACATTAGCTACGTTATTTATTTACACTGTAGCATTTAAGTTTAACTCATCAATGTAGCATTTAAGTTTTTGTGCCGTTTGTATTGTAGCTTGTTTTTTTAAATATGACTCTACTTACAAACTATACAGGTTCTAGACCTAACGCTATAGAGGTATTAAAACATGTAAGCTTTACCATTACCCTATATGTATGAAATAAATATATATGTAAATAATGTAAATAAATCACATTTAAATTAAAGTGTTCACATTTTATTGTACGACTGTAGAGAGCTGTTGTCATAAAATATTTTTGGTCTGGTTTCCAAACAATTAATGGTCTCTAGAATTTATCACCATATTGTCAAATTAACTGTGTTTGTTGTATTGATGACTCCGTGGCACAGATGCCAAAGTATTGGCTTCGGCGTCGGGGGTCATGGGGTTCGATTCCCACACGGGACAAGTATTTGTGTGACCCAAGATAGTTGTTTCGGATCTGGGTGTTTGTCCGAGTGAAATTTATGTCTGTAAAATGTCCTTACAACACAGGATAATGTTATCCTAAATTAACGCCAATGTTTTAAAAAATATTTTGTTTTTCTAGTAATTTACGGATTATATACTCACTGCGTATACTTAACGTATATAATAATAATAATAATAGCCTTTTATTCAGATCATTCTTACAAATATACTTAACGTATACGCAGTGAGTATAACTTGTACGGATCAAACTCACTGCGTATAATTAACGTATACGCAGTGAGTTTGATCCGTACAAGTTAAATTTATTAATAACTACTTACTATGTGTTAAAGAATAATTGAATAGATAATTATGCACAGCGTCCAAAAAATAGCTAGAAAAATTAAAATCAAAATCATAAATAAAATTTTCGTACCAGCACATTAACCACATGTAATTATCAACCTTGGTGACTAGAGATCATAACATTCAACATTTTAGTGTATGGAAAAAACATACTGTCAAGACAATATGATTTACAGAGGTAACTGTAAATCTGATAAAGTGATAACATACAAACATATTAAAATACACACATATTACAAATACATAAATGTATTTATCGAGTAAAGAACATATAAATAACGATTTGTATATGTTTGTTAATTTGTAGTTTGAGTTATGTATTTTGGGGTGCAGACATAAAATTATTCTATTTGCGTGATCTACACACTCATCTGAGCTCGACGATGTCAAACGCACCTTTTATTATTTGTGTCTTTAAGTAATTTTGCTCTCGTATATTGATTGCTAGATGCTGCCAGCGAGTACGTCTGCGTACAATAGGCTGAAGGCTAAATTTATATACATAAAAATATGTATAGCCTATGTGTTATTCTGATGTTTAAGCTGTATTATTGTAAAGTTTCATTGTAATTCATTCAGTAGTGTTTGCGTGGAAGCGTAACAAACATCCATCCATACATACAAACTTTAGCGTTTATAATAATAGTAAGGATTGCGGTGGTGAAAAAGTTACAGTAAAATATCAGAACAGATAAGAAGTAAGCATCATGGAAGCAAAGTCAAGCAACGGATAGGAAGAGGTGGATCTTAGGTTATCTCACTTATGATGCGATACGCAAAAGCATTAATATCCACACACACCGATTTTCTGTGGAGCCATGCCCCCAACTCGTAGCAATTAGGCCATCACTGACTACACATGGACTAGGGATGTTCCATACATATAATTCCAGACAGATGGACCTGCGGAGTTAATCTAATCGCGCTACTTCAAATGCACGAATGATAAAGAAAAATCATAAACATAACTTTAGGAAAGCAGTCAAGACAAAAATAACCATAAAAAATAAGAAATTGATAATGTTGTTGCAGTGTCCACTTATTCCGAGTTACTTTCAGAGTAACACTCCACTTGATAATCTAGTAATCATTTTGAAATACATCGTAAAGTTTATACCCAACAGTATCATACAATTAAGAATGAAATAGGTTAAATATTTTTTTTTATTTATTGGATTACTAACGTAAGATACAGCCAACTCAGATAAATACAAATTATTTGTTACATAGTACAATAGGTAACTGTTCTCACATTTATAAGTAACCACATCATGCGTTTTATCCTGTTACTGTAATGAAAACACTATAAAAATTATGTAAGTTAAAATAAGACAAAGGTCAATCACGATATTTACGATAAAGGTAAGTCAACATTTTTAATTTTTGCAATAAAAGTAGCGATGCTATCGAAGTGGATGTCAATATCTGAATTCTTCTCAACATATTCATTGTACAAGCGGGTGGCGCGGACCAACGGTGAAAAACGACCCAAATTTAACAACTACAACAATTAAACAAACAACAACAATTTTAATTTAACAACGCGGTCCTTTTGTTTAAAATTCAGTTGTGTGTTATAGTACCGGCAAGCTTCAATTTTATCTGTGAAAAATTGACATATGACTACTTAATAAAATCAACGTTTACGCATAAACTCTCCTAAAGTGTCGACCTCTTGAATCGAGCGTCGCTTGATCTTGCAAGAGGACCCTCGACTCCGTTATTCATGCCAAGTGGATGAAAAAATTATCGTGAAACGTAGACGAGGGTGGCTCCTAAGACGGCCCATATTGATTACTGGAGAAAATTTCTCACGAATATGACGTGGGCGGCAAAGACTATACTTTCCACTTTCATGGGTAAAGATAAAGTAAGATACGATTGTTAGAACATGGTCCTTTATGTTCTACCATTTCTGATGTACAAATATTACATTTTACATTAAATATACGCAAAAAATACAAAACAATAGAAAATATAATTTAGGAAAGTGTTTTTATAAATCATATAAAAAATAATTATAATTTAAATAACCCCCTGTCGAATAATAGCAATTACTTATCCGAAAGTTAAACAGATTTCGCTTAATATAATTTTAAATTTAAAGTTTTTAATTTATTTGGTAATTTATTATGTATCCTAATGGCCATAAAATAACAGTTTTTGCTGAACATTGTGGTACGATGGGGAGACATGTGTAGTTTTGTCGAGAATTTACTATTTCCATTGTTTATTAGAGTTTTGTCTTCCTTTTCGATATAAAAAGAGTCTTAATGCGTATTTAAGTTAGTCTGTTATTGATGGTTTAATAAATAAGTGTATTTTTTTTGAGTATTTTTTTGTCCTAGCCTGGTCAGTTTCGACAATGGGTACGAATGTACTCTACAAGTAAGTATTAAATTTATTAGCAGGAAACAGAAACGTATCCGTGCAGATCGGGAATAAAGGTCGATGACAAACTATATTCACTTGTTTTCAAAAATGAATTCCCACTTTACAATAGGATTATCTAATAAAGTAAAGTAAAGTAAAGTAACAGCCTATACATGTCCCACTACTGGGCAAAGGCCTCCTCTATACAGAGGGTATCAGAGCATAGTCCACCACGCGGCCCCACTGCGGATTGGCGGACTTCACATGTTTTCGAAATATATATTTTTTTGTTATTATTTCGAAAATATGCAGGTTTCCTCACGATGTTTTCCTTCACCGCGGAGCACGTGATAAGTCAGCACTTAAAGTTAAAAACTTCATTGGTGCCGGCACCGGGGATGGAGGCTCAGGCTGTTCGAGTATATTGAATTAAAGGCGAGCGCCCGGACACTGAGCTATCACGGCTCTTATCTGATAATAAGGATAAATGGAGGCTTTGCATTTGTGAGTAGCACGTAGCGGCTGAGCCTTATCTTCAATGAAATGTTCAGAGGAAGTTTTAAATTCAGTAAACGTAGCGATGTTTTGTTATTGTGGTTTGTTTTTAACCGACTTCAAAAAAGGAGGCGGTTTCTCAATTCGACCGTATATATATATTTTTTTTTTATGTGTGTTCGCGGATAACTTCGTCGTTTATGAGCCGATTTTGACGATTCTTTTTTATCGGAAAGAAGATGTCCCAAGGGTGGTACCGTGATCTGAAACCCGGATCTGATGATGGCATCCCAGAGAAATCGAGGGCCATCATTGAATCCTATAGGTATTAAGAATGTTTTTAATATTCTTATTGAAGTCGGTTTTTTTGTTAAAAATTATACTTGTTTATTGGACACATTAGGGATGACTGGTCAGGAGTTATTGCAGAACAATATCCTTTTTGTTGCGCATGTCCATCGCTTCCTATATCTTCTGGTTTTATTGGCCATGGCATCGATTTTCCGTCATCTTCAATAATTTGTGCTACGCGGAAGCGATCGGAAGGTCGCGCGACCTTATTGCAACTTTAGATTATTAACTATAGAGTCAATCAAGCGAAGGAAACGTGCCACAGTTAATTAAAGCTCATTCCCTTCTGTGGAGCAAGTCTGAAATGTAGAAGGAATATTAGAGAACAGTAGCTAAGAGAACACTAGGTATATTGGGACACACTAACTAAGAGAACACTATATTTGATGTACAGATAATGTCAATAATGAAATATATGCCATCATGACTTCGGCGTCAACGCCAATGATCCTTCTAGAATTAATTCATTCATGAATAAGCACAGTTGCTTATTACTTACCCAGTGGTAACTTTAATATGCAAGGATGCAACGCGATGAGTCATCGGTGCATCAGAGCAGCGGCTACGTCAACTGCCATTGTCTCCTGTCGCCAGTGCGTCAAACGGACGGACAGACGAGACTTTATAGTTCAGACTACACGCAAATAGGGTGAATGTATCATATTTATCATATAAAAAATGTTAATATTTTTGTTCGTTGCAATTGAGTGCGAATTATGATTAATAACAAGTGTTTCTCGGCATTCGGGATTCGGGAACACAGTTTCAAATTTGAGTAATCGACGCAACTTACAACAATATCTTGTGATTTCATCTTCCAAGCAAAAAATTGCACGTTTGAACAAGAGTTTTAACAAGTTAACACTATTGTTCAAATCTCCTGTATGTAAAAAATTAAGGAATTTATGTTTAGTAAGAAGGATAGGGCGTAACAATCAAAAATGGCTTACATCTCGCGTGGATTTTACGAGTATTCTCTCAGTAACGGTTGGTTTCAATATCTGTTATCTACAGATAGATTTGGTTACTAGCGATAGGTAAACATAGAGTATAGGTACACCGTACTTATAATTATTATAAATAGCTTGTACAAATACCAGGTAAGTTTCTTCTAATAGGAAAATCATAAATGCACAGAAATAAAAATTAAATTAAAAAGTTTGACATTAGCTCCATAACACTTACGTCAAAATTCTACCTCCAGTAACCAAATCTATCTGTAGATCGGACGGCCATTGGTGATAGCTGAACAATCTAGGAAAATTCAAACAGTAATGTATCTTTATGAAGTTGACAGACCACAGGACAGACAGTTTGACAGAAAGAATCAATCGATATATGTGATACACGTGAGTTTTTTTTTAATTTCTTCCTACGAAATTCTTAAAATAGTTGAACCTAATAAAAAACAAAACCAATTAAGCCATCGTAAGTAAACGGAGAAAGGTGGTGTTGAGAGACGATTGCAGCTAAATATCGCTGAAATGCGCCTGTAGGGCTTTTGTTGACTTCCGTTTCCCCTTACTTACCGGTTGAATGAAATGTTTATGTTTTTTTTTAAACGCCAGCCAAGCAAAGGTAAACAACACCGAGGTGTTGCAGATGTCGCGTCTTAAATGGCAAGTATCTCGTAGCTTGGTTATGCTGATAGTGGTCCTTAAAAATCATCGACATTTGAACTTGAACTCGTTGAACAGGTTGCTATGTACCCACAGTACATAATTAAAAGCCACCGAACCATCACGGCGATGTCTTTAAATCTATATAAATAAAATTATGGAGGTCTATCGTCGTGCGCGTTTCACGCAAAGTCTACTGGATACATTTCAATTAATTCTTATACTTAACTTTTATTTCATAGGCAGTTGGCCCTTATCCAAAAAAATATTGTGATATCTTTAATTAATGTAAACTTATTAAAGTTTTAAGAAACAACGATATTTATAATAACAATCAGACGAAAGCGTTACGTTAAAAATTTTAAAACTGTTTCTTTACGTTTAGTATTTTGCCAAGGAACATAATTTTAAAAAAGAAGAAGAAGAAACGTTTATTCACGGTCTAAGCACAATAGATACATACAACACTTAAAAATAATAATGTAACTACACATTATGTAAAATAATATTAGAATAACTTAAAATAAATGTAAACATAACAAAAAAACTAAAAAAAAAATAACAATAATAAGTGAAGGTCTGTGTAGCAGCATAAGACCGTGAAACGGACGGGACTCGGTAAAAGTCGCGATACAGTAACTAAGATTCGTTCTGATCCCGACGCCGGTTTTCAGTCCGCCCGCACTTCGAGACAACTCGGACGGCTGCGTCAGTGCACTTGTAATACATACCTACAACGCAGTATAGCGATAATTAAATTATTTTTGTTTGAACCTTTCAATTATATAGACATCCACTGTCTATCATTCGTCTGAAGAGGAAAGTAAAAATTAGAACTAATGTTTTCTTATTTGATATTGGTGTCAGCTGCTTTATTTCCATTTTGGTTTTAGGTTACCAATATTTATCCCTACTCCGTGGCACTGTGACATTTACCGATCGAGCAGTGTCACAATCGTTTAATATGATAAAATGTTAAGGGAGATACGGCGCATAGACATAAAACAAGCTTGACGAATAACATTTTCCTTGAATACACGTGTAAATAGTATTATATATAATATTAAACAGTACTCGTTAGGTTCATGCATTTTCAGCTTCGCAATGACCCCCTTTGCTCACAATGGACGCTTTGAGGAGACGGTACGGCAGTTTGGGCAAGTTTTACCGCGTGCATAAATTATTTATCAGTTAAAAATATTACTCGTAATTGTGCAAAATTGCTTACCGGCTTTAGGGCGCGATGATGCAACCAATTCGACCCGGGTACGAACTAGTGCTAGGTGGCATGACAATGCGCTGACTCGGCAACCGGTGTCTACGCACGCGTCTTACTAAGCTTTCTAATATAGTTTAATCATATCGAGGACTTTAATGATACTGTTTTAAAATAACCACCACCAATTACGCATAAAAATATTTATAAGCAAGCATTATTTAGTCCCCTGTGTCTTTAAAACTTCAACGGTGCGATCAGATTCTCCTAATCCTTTCCAAGTCTTAAATTGGGAACCAATGTTTAAAATAACCTCCATTGTAAGGAAACCGTTACTCAGCCTTTAGTGTTTTGATTGTTTATTTACTGTTTACTTATTTCTTATAAATGAATCCCGCGCTAGGGGCCCGGTGGTGGGTATCCTTGTGACATAGGATTCAATAGAACACCCAGGCTCGTTACACCTACAACCACACAAACCTTTGACAGAACAAGGTTTTATATTTAGAACAATTTCTAATGGGCAAAACCTAGATCTAATTACGGTGGCTACGCGTTATTGCGTGCACTATGCTAATTGTGTCGCGGTGACGCGCGTGGCCACCTGACCGCGTCATCCGACACTAGCTAAAGTGGCAGACTCTTCCGCTGAGCACGCAGAGGCGCCGGTAGCTTTAGGTGCTAGAAATGTATAGTCAGGAACTTATTAACAAATTAATAATTTCAATTTATTTGAACTGAATGCTTGATTTAACAACAATTGATTCATATCAATTGTTGTTATCGAGCCGTTTCTTTCTCTTATCCGGAAGTAGGTTCGATTTTCAATTCCTAGCCCTGAAGAAAAAATTTTCATCCATTTTTCTTATATTTTATTCGGAGTTTTTTACTATTTCTTTAATACTAAGTGGTAAAATATTTTAAGAACTCTGAATGAATTAAATTTTTTCTCTTGGACATTTACTTGGACATTCCAATGTCATGAGGATATAGTTTGTAGGTAATGAATTAACATTTGGAAATATATTAAATAATGTTTAAAACTCTGCGTACACGCGCGAAGTTTTATATTAGGGTCTGAAAGTGCAAACACCATTCAGCAATAATCATTGATTCTTATGGATTATGCTATGTTCTAACGTCACGTGATTCTAAATCCCGGCCTATACCTCACATATACTCTCTTCTTTCCTATCTTATCTTCTTTCCATGGCCAGCCGCCCAATGCATATAACAAGAGATAACTCTACTACACTCAGTGTCTGCATAATATTTTTTTGTAAATTTTTGTATCTCACATTACTTTTATAGAACAGTGATTTAATTAGTTTGTTGGGGCGTAAATTGCCCGGTCTAGCGGAAAGCGCAGCAAACGAAGCGTGTGCACGTATCTCATGAAAATAGCTGCTCCGAGGGCCAATCGTGCGGGAAATGTCGCTTTCCCACACCGCTGACTCGCGGAGCAGTAAGGCGTCCTGGCATACCTACAGGAACTCTGAAAATAAACACAGACGCGAGAATGTCACTTTTTTATTTTTTTTTATTCAAAACTGGCCAGCACATGACTGCCATCCCACCTGTTGGTAAGTGGCGATGCAGCCGTTGATGGTAAGCGTGCTACGAGTAGCTCAGTAAAAACCTTTTCACTCTTGTCTTGAAGACGTTGTAAGCGGACGGATAGACAACTGCTCATTCAACTTCTTCAACCATTCAATAATATCTCTTGAGACTAAGCATTTTTTTACATTATTTCGAATCGGTAACTTATATATTCTGAATGAGGTTTAACTGAATAACAAAACGTATGCGCGAGTAAAAGTAAAGTTACTGCCTTCATATGTCCCACGGCTGAAGAAGACCTACCACGGACTGGAGGACTTCACGTATAATCGAAACATTATTTTTATTATTACTGCGAAAATATACAGATCTCCTCACGACGTTTTCCTTCACTACTGATTACGTGATGAATCAGTACTTAAAATTGCAAGTAGCCATTTAATTGGTGCCACCACCCGGATTTGAACTAAGGTTGCCAGAGCATATTGATTTAATGGTGGCTCTCGTATTCGAGTTATTGAAAAAACAAATCAGTTATTACAATTTCCTGTTGTGCAGTCGTAATACTGTGGATGGAAATGAAAAGAATAAAATTCCTGAATCCCAAAGGTTGAGCGTAAAATAAATGTTCAGCGAGGAAATGCAGTTAGAGTTCATGGCACCATGCCGCGTGGACTAGGTTTATTAGATAATACTTAATTTACTTAAATTTAATATTGTTAAATATTGGATATAATAAAATGAATATGACGTTTAAATTTTCATTTTCAATTCCTTACCAGTTCCAACGGTACAAAGACGAGCGTTAAGTCACAATTTGTTATTAGATATTAGCCAATTTATACGCAATCAAAAAATATCGACACCGAAACAAAGGTGTTTTAAAGTTGTCTATTCAACATTGGGCGGTGGTAAATTGAGGCCTCCGATATGGATTCGTCACCGCCTTTGTTCAGGGGCATTTGGTCAAACGGAATTTGCTCAATTGTCACCTGATCAAACATAGTTGCTTTGAAGCCTTTTCGCCATTGCGACGATAACTGAACCAGGACAATTTTCCGCTCCAGTATCTAGTGAAAACACGCTTGCAAACATGTTGGTCGTTGTTTTTCTGGTCAGTAATTTTAAGTTCATAACAGCCAAAACCTTCCGAGTTTTCACTCTTAAAAATTTAACTCTTAATAATTTTTAATAGAAGATAAATAGAGCAGAAACGAACTGAAGATGCTCTTTCAACTGTTTTGTTTGGAGAAAAAGTATTCTCTTAGTAAACATTTTGTTTTTCGTAGCAACGGAATAGGTATTCTTTTCACTACATTTTTAATATTCAGGGCATATTTTTACACAACGTTATCTAGGTCCCTAACTTACTTTACTTTAAATGATGTTCTTGCTTACAGTCCGTGTACCATCAAAGCTTCATGAAACGCAGAGCCCGTGGGATAGACAGATCTCACGGGCACGATACGGTATCTCTGCGTTAGGTAGGACCACGAATGTATTTTCTCTTATGTGACAAATTGGCAAACGAGCTAACGGCTCACCTGAAGTTAAGTGATACGGTGATCATGGACATTCGCAATACCCTTAGGGTTGCATATGCGTTGCTACCTTTTATTAAAGTGGGCCCCGGCTACCTCACTCAGCAGACTAAATGCAGAAGTGTAACACTTATACTTCACACCGGTCTTCCGTGAGGTCGTGGTACTTATCCGGACGGACCTGCCCATTCATGCATGCACTGTTGCGTGGCCCTACCACGGTCAATATAATATATATGCGTTATCTAGTGGGAGGGAATGTCACCTATGGGCTATCGAAGTTCTGTATGGACCATGATCACGATGGCCGTTGACTCTATTAATCGGTGATTTGGGGCATTGGGAACCGTCCCCGGAACGGAGATAGAGCCTTGTGTACGTTGGTTTCCCCGTTCTCGTAGGCAAGGACGAACTAATTGAATTAATCGTGAATAAATTCTAAAAGAATGTGTTGTAGCACCATCTGTGGGTAATGTTGTCTAGCGGGACCCGCGCTGAGCCCGACGTACATTTCCCCATTTGTGCGATGCGGACATTGCGCTGGCGACTTTTTTAAACGGTCGCGTTTATGTCGGGTTGGTAATTCGATGCATTTACCACTAGAGGATTGAAATGGAACCGTTTGGTTAATTTTTGAAAATGTTTGCGTGCCATCGCGAGACTCCAATCACGGTTGCGAAACTAATTTTGAATTATAAATATTTTATATAGATTTATTATAAATATTTTTTTATACAATTCTTTTTGAACTTATGAACTACTGTCCTTAGGTTCAAAAATAATCTGAGCTCTTGCTGTGGGTACCAAGTTACTGATAAATATACTTTTCTTTTGTAAATACATCCGTATCATAGATATAGTTTCTTGCCGGTCTCTTCTCAACGGAAAATGCTTACGGCATAAACTTTGTTCGATTTTGTCGCAATGTACTCTCACAATTTGTGATGAAACTCCGTCGACTGTATTCCCAGTTTAATCCCAGACATTATGTGATGCTTTTCAGTCCAAAAAAAAATTGAACGTAATTATAATGTTAGAATGTAATTAAAAATGTTATTGTATAAATAAAACTATTAAACTATTGTATAAATATTACGGATTTATCGCGTTTTATTTAAACTATAATTCCCAACGTTTCGAACTCTTACTCTATAAGTATAAGAAATTGGATATAAACATTAAATTATGTGTTTATACATGAAAGATATATAACACCAGGTAGCATAGCCAACTTAGTACCTTCTTAAAAGCCCTCAGTACAATTAACTAAGCTTGGGAAATTTATTTTTGTATGAACGCCATTTCGGAAACTTAAAGGGAAAAAATGTTACACAAGAATTTATTATTAAGCATAGCATTTAAATATCAATATCAAATTATATGCACAAATTAATACTTTTATATGTTTAACACACAAGTAAGCATAATTCTTTCGTGTGCAGTTCAATAAAAAGATTGGTGGTACGTGGGTCCGTCTTTTGTTTTCATTTTTCACTTTTCTTCAAACTGTTTATAATTTCATATTCACCTCTTGTTTGAAAAATACATCAGAAATCTGAGAATGAGGTCATTTTTCTGAATATTTCATTTAAATACCTTAAAGGTCCTATCTGCCTCATGACCCCGTAAGGAAGAATGTACAGTTCAACCTCGGCGTCGACTCTGATGGTGTCGAGAAAAAAGTAACAGAAAAAAAAAAACAGATACATATCGAAGCAATCCTAGCTGGAAAAAAGTGCAATGTAATAAGAAAAAAAATTAATAGGCCATTGACCCGTCGTAGCATCGAAGAGCGATGGGCGATCGCGAAATCCGCTGAATGCACGCGGCTGCACGCTTACGCGCGCCACCCCGCGCCATTCGCGTTCTGGCACTCGAGCCGCGCGCACGAAATGGCAGCGCGCTGTTGACAACCCGCGGTAATTGCGTATCAGAGCCAGCCCACCATGAGCCGGTAAGTTTTTTTGCCTATTTCATTGATCCATCTTCACCACATCAGATGTTATGATTTAAAAGCGATTAAACTCGATACATAATTTTGATTTTTTGTGAGAATTATGGCGTTAAACTGTGTATTTTTTTTATTATAAACGCGCGTTATCGTAGGGTTTTTTTATTTCGTTCGCACGCCATGTCTCGAGTTAAGAACGTCGGTCGGTCCGATCCGGAGAGTTGTTTGTTTGGAAAACGAATGATTTTTCCTGAATTTGTGAGGACGTTTTTGGCCGGTTACAGGTTTCAGAGCTGTTTGTTTTGGTTTACAATTTCATTTTTCATTTCGTCTGGGCTAGAGACTAGAAATATGACTATAACCCGTGCCATATGATAGTTCTTTCCTTGTCAGTTATTTGTGCGTGAGGTTTATTGGGTTACGGGTTATTCTAAGGTGTTGTACATGGAATGCGAGAGACACATCCTAATCGGTTCTCTTGATCCCGTCGACCCGTCGCCGTCGAAGGCTGCGCTGCATCGCGCCGCGAATATTAAACTCTGACGCAATGACCTCTGATTCGCTTTTTGCATAATAACTAAAATCGGCTTCGGCAAATTGTATAATCGCCTAAGACATCGCACGCTGCCCGTGATCGGACGCGGCCGGTGGCGCGTAATGGCGCTCGGCCTAGGTTCGATTCACGCCGAGAGGAACGCACACGCGTGCCTGCGCATGCTGGGCTAAATAGAGCCGCCAACCGATGGATGTAATACGTGTATGTATAAAGGCCAACCAAAAATGCGTTAGGTGTTAGGGTCTAAAAGCATCCGATGGACTGCGGTGATATAATGAATTGATGTTATCGAGGTCGCGATTTTTTTTATGTGAGAAGGTGGTAAGCGACCTGGTTGTTCATCGTGTGGTAAGTGACAACCGCCGTCCATGGACATCTGTAACACCCGTTACCGGGTTGTAAATGCGTTGCCATCTTATAAAAAAGTGGGCTTCGGTTACCTCACTCACCACCCGTATATCAATCCCGTTTTGGGGTTATCAGGCGCGGGTGACTTTAACCGCCACTGAAGTTTAAGACGCACCTCGCTCCCGGCGCGAACTTCCAAGCGGGCTTATGCAATTAGCGGCGGCATAATTGGCGCCGGCGCCGCCGCTCGGGGAATGCTAAGCGGGGGCTTACGCAAGCAAGGTAATTGTCACGGCGCGGGGTGAATCGCCCCGGCCGCGCTTGCGACACCGTGGAGCGCCCCAGCATCGTAATAAGCCGCGGCCGGCGGCTGCGTCCGCGCCTCCGCCGGTGCACGCAAGCCGTGCGCCGTATCCCGAAAGACGCACGCGACAATGGACCGTAACGCAACCAAACATAAACTTCAAAGCGCCGCATCATATTATTGTGTGCGTATAACGTCTTGTGCGCACGGCCACAGCATGTACACCGCTCGACAAAGTCACGCACTCGCTTCCGAAACGCGCACTCAAATCCGAACTGTAACAACAATGCAGTAGACCTCATTGCCCCACGGCCATCATCGGTGCGAGATTGCAACGCAGTGAACTCCCCGAGAAGCGGAAATGAGCAGTTTACAATGGATGTTACATATCGTTGAGTACGCACATCTTTCGTATGGTCGTGTTTGTGTGTGTAACTACATAATTAAGCAGATTTCCTGGCACGCCGGCCCACACTCGCCGGTTGGGGCGTTTACGTTTCTGTTATAACACAACATAACGCATTTGACAAGGTCCTAATAATTAACTTGCACTCTTCACCGGGGCTCATAAATGAAACGAAAACTAATTAACCACTGTGACATGAGCCTGAGAACTCATCTCTTGATGTAGCGCTCTCTTGCGAACGACAAAGTGAAATATGAAAGACACCACCGTGAAATTAATCCGCAACAGGATTTCGTTTGAGCGCGCCCCCCTAATTGGAGCGTAGCCCACATTCGGGGCACGTGGTGCGGTGCTGTTTTGGATTTACTGCGAGCGGGGAGCCCCCGAGGGACCCCAGCGGAGCGTCATTCCACGTGAAACTCCTCTAGCAATTAGTCGAAGTGAAAATGTTCTTCATTAACGCGAGAGTAATCAACTTATTGAGTAATCTCTCAACGCGTTTCGCGTCATTCCAATTTACACGGGGTGCAAAGCGAAATGTCTCTTGATTCTTAAAGTAACGTCGTGAAATGTCGTGTAAGTGATTGTTGGGTGCTTAACGGAATTTAAGGTACAGGGTTCGATATAAAGCGCCAGTTAATAGTTTCGATTCCTCAAATGCGGTAAACTATTTAAAAAGTCGGAATTTAAAATCGAAAATAAGCCTTTTATTTTTTTTTTTAATGTGAAAAGTTGCCAAACGAGCAGACGGTTCACCTGATGTTAAGAGAATACCACCGCCCACGGACATCTGCTACACCCGAGGGTTGCAGATGCGTTGGATAACCTTTTGAAAATTGGGCTCCGGCCACCTCACTCACCAGACGAAACGCGAAAGTATTTTACTTCCACTCTATGCCAGTCTTACTTACTCCTCCGAACGAGCCTGCCCATTCGTGCAACAGCCGAGGCCGCTGCGTGGCTCTACCACCGTCTAAGCCGCGAGTAAAACGTACACGCGGGTATTGATTTAGTGTCAGCCTGGGTCGTTGCAGTTTTATTCGATCCTACATACCGACGTTCGCCGCCTGTCTACTTGGCGTCGCCGTTTCGGAACAAATTCAGCTAGGAGACGCCCACTGACTTGCCGTCTTTTATTAACCTTTAAAGAAGGCCGTCAGCATTTCAATTCCGATGTTTGCCCCATCGGTTTTATATTGTCAGCTCAGATATATATTTTTGTTTGTACCCACATGTTAAAGTTATCGCAAGTTTAATGTTCAGGTATATTAATGATGTCATCCGAGAATAAAACAATTAACTTGAAAAATTAAGGGTAAACATTAAATAAGAAAGTAATAAATATATAAATGATCTCCGCGGTTTTGAATACAATCTTTTAACCTGCGTATATAGTACCACGAAAGAGGTCCTTATCAATAATGGCTTGGTTTGGTGTTGCTTTGATCAAGGATGCCTGGGGTGACTCTTAATCAGGATGAGGCTTTGAGAAGGCCTTTTCTTTCAAGTACGTATTTTATAATCTAACGGATTTAAGTCTGAACTGTAGGAGTCCACGGTAAAAATTTCTTTCAATCAATCTCATTTCGTATATTTCGCGTACGAACTAGGGCAACGCAACAGTCTTCGCTGTTGCACGAATGGGCAGGTCCGTCCGGGTAAGTACCATAATCTCACAGACTTTATTAAAAAGTGGCAACGAACTTCCAACCCTACGTTTGTTGCAAATGTCAATGGGCGGCGGATATCTAACATCAGGTGAACTGTCTGCTCGCTTGACACTTCCTCGCATAAAAATAAAATTCAGGATGCTTGTCTTCCGCGTACCGCTTGAAAGAACCGCGAGGATCATCAGTCTTAGGTTCATTAAACGAGCATACGAAGATGTCCTTTTTTCTGTCTTCTACACTTGAATTTTCATTATATCGTTTGATGAAGTGATAAACAAATATTTTAGTTATTATAGTAACCGCGACCTGATCTTCTCTTAGCGTCCACTCCATGTTTAAAAACAAATGAAATTCGAAGTAGTGTACATTTTTATATTCATAAAACTTTCGAAATTAGAATTCAATAAACATTTTTGTGGCCAGCATTTAAAATTCAGTTTTCATTATGTAACAGAGCTTACAACCCGACTAGGTAGAAAAGTCAAAGTTGGATTAATACTCGGTTTTTAATTGGATCAACGGCTAATTCACTATTCTAGGCCAGGGGTGCTCAAGTTATTTGAAGGGAGGTCGGGCGAATCGTTACAGTTGACAAATCGAAACTTTGATCATCACCTCTCCTTGAGAAGCGTTTTATGCCGGCGCCATCATTGATTACTTTTTGTTTATGTCTCTTTGATTTACGGTTGGAAGTCGGTTCTAGGACCTTTTTCGAACGAACGGCTTCTTATTTTATTCAATTCTCTCTATTTCAATTCTCTATAGATTCTCTCTTGTTTTCGTGTAATTCATGCATTTTTTATTTTGCGCAAAGGTCAAAAATGTTCAGAGATTCTGCTCAGGTTTTGGTCATTATAATTCAAATTTATAAAAAAACACGGACTCGTGTTTTTTTATACATCTGTACTGACAGCCTGTACAACGTGATGATTAAGTTAAGTTTTTTCTTAATCGCAATTTATTTTGTTAAATCTTTAATTACAAATTATTGAATAAGTTGTAATTAAAGAGTTAACAAAATAAATTAACAAAATAATTAATAAAAGAATATCTGCGTAAACCTAATTATTATTCATTATTTTCCTTATACAATCCCTTTATGTGGGGTCTTTATTAAAAGCTCTCCTGCTGGGAAAATTCATAAGACCTTCGGGCAATTTTCTATGGTAGTTAAAGTAAATTGCCTGCTTTATCGACGGCTAGCGAAATGTCTCCGCTGTTTTCACTAAAAGAGGGTAAAATATGGGATTCATTTATTTCCTTTTGTATACTGTATTAAAACCTTACGCCTGTAGATGTGTTTATTATACGCCTTGGAATGTGTCTATAATTTCGTTTTTTGTTTTCGCATTCGCTAATTATTTATGTGAGTTAGGCCTGTAACGTTCCGTCCGCTAGTTTGTATGAAGCCTGCTGTCCACACTTTCCACGCACTCTATTTGAATAACGAAACTGGCCGTAATGCATGCGTCGACACGTGTCACACACACACAGGCAAGCATAAACACATCCGTGAGCACACAGAGACACCCTCCGGTGACAGTCACCGCCATCGTAAAGAAACAGCCACGCTGCCCAAGCCCCAAGCGTCGTGTCATAGCTGTGATATAGAAACATTAATATTCATCAGTATCAATAGATAGGCTAAAACAATAACATCCCGTAAATTGATACGTGCACATCATTTACAAACATTGTTATTCTTAATAACGGCATAATATGTTTTATGTTGACTGTACTTGACTCGTACTTGATGCGGTAATTTAATGAGATTTTTATGCATATTATTTAAACAAAATATAACAAAAATAGTCCTCTAAGCGACTTGTTTGGAAATTTAACGATTTACATAGTAAACATTATTAAGACATAAAACACTTGTTTTCGAAAAACTCTTTATATTATCCTAAATACGGCAATTGATATTCAAAATTTATGTAATTTGTTTCTATAGGTTATGAATAAATTATTTAATTTTATCGACAAAACAAATATTATTCGCATCTTTAACGATCACAGCGGCGAAAAGAATTATGTATATTATATAAGTCGTTTGGAAATTAAGGACAGACAAAAGATATCATTTATGTTGAGCCACAGAAGACAGCACGGTGGCAACGGTGGTAGGGCCACGCAACAGTTTTCGCTGTTGCACGAATGGGCAGGTCCGTCCGGGTTAGTACCACGACCTCACAGAAGACCGGCGTAAAGTAGAAGTGTTGCACTTCTGCGTTTCGTCTGTGCGTGAGGTAGACGGGGCCCACATTATTAAGAGGTGGCAACGCATCTGCAACCCTACGGTTTATCACTTAACATCAGGTGAACCGCCAGCTCGTTTGCCACTTCTCCACATAAAAAAAAGCACATTTTAACTACTAACTAGTCAAAGGAATCTTTGTAGCTACAATTATATCTTATATTATATTTCATTTTTATTTAATTAAAAAAATACATTTGACTGCAGTTATTTCCCGGATGCATGAATTGAATAAAGGAGTATCGAACACTAAATTGTTAAAAAAGTCCAGATCTTATAAAATTTTTACTCGGTCAGTTCGATAGATGGAATGAAAGACCATTTTCGGCGCGCCCGCTGCGTTATTAGCGGCATCACAGCGGGGAAGTATTAATACATATAAAACGCAACGTTTATTGGACTTTGAACTTTAGTCCGAGTTGATAGGATTCGTATTTGGTCCGCGCTACATTCGTACGGGACAAATAGAATATGGCTGTACGCGAAATTTGCAAACGTACTGTACTCGATGACCGTCCATTCGTCTTCTGTTTCGTTGAGTTGATTAACGCTTTTAGTCTTTTCCGTTTGTGATTTAGCTTCTGTTATAATTTATCAGTAATTTATTATTTATGAGAGATAGAAAGCGCTAGGTCGGCTCACCCGATGTGTTTACCAATCATGGACATACAGTACCTGTTGTGTTAACTGTTGCAGGGCCATGCAAAGTGAGGTAACCGCAGCCCACTGTTTTAAAAGATTTGCAACCCCACTTTCTGTACACATAGGAGGCGGTAATTATTTAACTTCAGATGAACTCCCTGCTTGTTTTGCAGATTTTCATATAAAAAGGCTAAAAGTAAA